ATTTGTGTGACTTTAATGAACGAATCTATACAAACGACCTTCAAATATGAACTAAAGATACACTAAAATCGGCTTAATATCTTTACTTATATCTAGAAATTGATGGTCGTTGGAACTTATTTGTGCGACAAAATAGATGGATCCCATCAAACAAAATAAATAACGTTCTGTTACTATGTAAAAGCATTCGAGCAGTGTTTGTTATAATAACAATATTAATATTAATAATAGTAATAAAAATAAAAATAATAATAATTATGATAAATTCATTTTTAAAGAGGGTAACTCGATTTGAACTTGTCTAACTTTCATTGAGACCGTCACACAAATTACATGTATACATTCAACAGCAAAAACATAAAATTTGATGGAACAGAAATATCCCATTCAAATATAATTCTTGCTATTCTTTTCTAAAATTTTCTATCAGATTTGTTTTGTAATCAATTTCCCCAAACCGAACAACATTCCTAAGTCAGGAGTCTATAGTTGAGTGGTTGTCGTTAATTGCTGTTTTCATTGTCTTGTTACTTATTTTTGTGTTGTGGCGTAACACCACTGTCCTATGTTAGGGGGGTGTTGGCGCTTTCAAACATGTTTAACCCCGCTTCTTTCTTATGTGCTTGTCCCAAGTCAGGAACATAAAGTTCACACGTTGTCGTTGAATCATATCTGTCATATTTGTTTTTTTGTAAATTGTTTTGCTATAAATTAGGTCGTTAGTTTTATTGTTTATTGTCCTATTGTTATAGGAAATTGAATTGTTTCCTAGCCTGCATGTCCGAGCCTTTTATAAATAATAATGACTTACATTCACTTCATTTGATCTTTGGTGGACAGTTGTTTCATTGGCAATTAAGCGACATCTTCTAATTTCTATCTACTATACAAAAGTCTATGTATGGTAGAACTTATGCATTATAAAATAATTGTCTTGTGTATATAGGCAACTTATCTTTAACTCCGTGAAGTGTGATACGAGAAATGTCATTCCATGCAAGAAATAGATAATAAGCCACAATTATAAGAGAATATATCTTCTAAATAACATTAAGAGGAGTTGTTTCAGACATTGACATCCTCTAGTTCAGAGGTGCTCTGCTGGTATTCATCGTTTCTTCTGAAGAACATTTATTGGAGTTGTTTCAGGCATTGACATCCTCAAGTTCAAAGGTGCTTTACTGGAATTCATCGTTTCTTCTGAAGAACATTCAGTGGAGTTGTTTCAGGCATTGACATCCTCCAGTTCAAAGGTGCTTTGATGGTATTCATCGTTTCCTCTGAAGAACATTCAGTGGAGTTGTTTCAGACAGTGACATCCTCCAGTTCAAAGGTGCTTTGCTGGTATTCATCGTTTCCTCTGAAGAACATGCAGTGGAGTTGTTTCAGGCATCGACATCCTCCAGGTCAGAGGCGCTTTGCTGATATTCATTGTTTCAAAGTCCAAGGAAGTGTCAATTATAACTGACATGTCGTAATGTGAAAATAAACAGTTTGGTTACACAATTTATTGTGTCAATCATGTGTTAGAGTTCTCGTTAAACAATTCCGATTGATACGGCTATTCATTTAGATCTTAATGTTCTTATAGATTTATTATTTATCGGTGAAGAATACGAAGAACATATGTTAGCGCTACATTTCTAGGAACATTATCAATACAATACTTAATTAGGAAATTCAATTATACTTTGTTATCATACAGAAAAACATTAAATAAAGAAAAAAACATGTCATACTTCTGCTTATTTACCAAATAACGTGATTATTCTATATGTTACACAATTGATCATAGATAAGATAAAAATTGTAAACTCTCTTTGTTCTAATTTTAACTAATTATTTTTGCTCAAAATCGAAAAAGGTAGAGTCGTTTTATATGATTCATCGCTGTTAATATGTTTTGCATGTATAGACTTTATAACCAATAGGGATTAGCTGTAGCAATGCATAAAATATGTTTTCAGCAGATCCTAACTATGTTGTGTGTTGGTCTGATTGTCCCTTTTGGTATCTTTTGCCTTTTTTATTGTGACGTTCCATATAATTTGTAATCTAGAATACAATTCTTTTGTTTGCAAATTCTTGTTATTCTATATGTATTAATGTCGTTAAATTCATCCATTATTTGTTTACAAAATACATATGTCTACTTTCGTAACGTTTTCCGATGCATTAGATATTATTGTTCTTTATGCTGTTACTTTATATTTCAGCTGCAAATTTGCTTTCGTGAAAATTGACTGTGGGAAGTGCAATCTGATTTTTTACAGTTACATTATTTAAAAAAAAAAACTTTCGTCAGTTTGAAATGTGTTATTCATTCATGTAATGTCAAATTGATTTGATACGCTATTCATCTCTATTTCTTTGAGACTTTTTTATAAAAAAAAGAGAATCATACGTGTTTATACATATCGAAGGCATATAAACCTGTAAACCGTCTGATATGTGTGACTATACATATAACACCTTCATTGGACTTGTATGTAAATATAGATTGTATCTTCATGTATATTCATTCACGTAATGTCGTCATCAGACGTTTTTGACATATACATTATACATTTACTAGTTATATATAACCATGCACGTTATATATATCTACATCAGACATGTTTAACCATCCTCATAATGTTTTCATCAGACATGTACGTACACCCATGCACTTAATACCTTCATTAGACATGTATAATCATCCACTTGCTATCTTCATCCGGCATGTAGTTAGTCTTCTTAATTGAATTTTATCATATTTTTCATGTCGGGGTCTTTTATGACCGACTATACGATATTGGTTTTTCTTATTGTTGAAGGCCGTATGGTTGCCTTTAATTGCTTACACCCACTTTACTTAACTTTGGTGGATAGTTGTCTCATTGGCAATCATACCTAATCTCCTTTTTTTATATGTAAACCATGCACATAATGTCTTCATTAGCCATGTAAACCATGCACCTATTACCTTCATCAGACAAGTATAACCATGCACTTAATATCTTCATCAGACGTGTATGGCCATTCACATAATATCTTCATCAGACATGTATAACCATGCACATAATATCTACATCAGACATGTATGACGCACACTTTATACCTTCATCAGAAATTTATGAAATACACATTATACCTACATCAGGCATGTATGATTATACACCTACCTTCATCAGACGTATATGACCATACGAATAATACCTTCATCAGACGTTTATGACATACACATTATTACTACATCAGGCGTGTTTCAGCATACACAACCTTCATTAGACGTGTATGACTATGTAGATTATACCTTCATCAGATGTATAATACAATGGCCATAAATATGTTTCCTTCATCGTACATGGTATGATCCTACATATTATACATCAATCAGCAGTGTATAACCATACACATTATACATTCATCATACATGTTTTGTTATTCGTTTAACCTTTCCGACAAATGGTCCAGATTTTTTAAACGTCTGGATTAAATGTTATTTATTGCTGATTTTCCTTCCTGTAACAGTCTATTTTGTCCAGAGAATCAGTGATGGGTAGTTGGTGTAGTCTGGTGTACTGCATAATTATTCTGTAATTCACGTTATCGTGTTTAGGTAATATTGAATTAACACTTTATAAGCGTTTTAATCGCTTTTGTAAAAGAGGGGCGAAAGATACCGAAGGGACATTCAAACTCATAAATCAAAAATAAACTGACAACGCCATGGCTAAAAAAGAAAAAGACAAACAGACAAACAATAGTACACAAAACACAACATAGAAAACTAAAGACGAAGCAACACGTACCCCACCAAAAACTAGGAGTGATCTCAGGTGCTCCGAAAGGGTACCATCATCAGAACGCGATAAACCAAACATTAAGAAGCATAAATCCTTGAATCATTTAAGAGCTATACGCATAACATTATCCATGAAGAGCTATATGTCACTAGCTACTTGAAAGCATGACCAAATCAAACACAGGTCATCTTTATTCTATTATTTATGTTTTTGATTCAAAAGAGTAGTAAAGAGGCCTTTTATAGCTGACTATAAAGTATTGGCTTTTTGCTGGTTGAATGAGATACATTAACCTGTATTTGCTTTCATCTGGTTCATTCGGACCCTAGTGAAACGTTGTCTCATTAGCAAACATATTAAACGATTTATTTTATACAATATTCAAAAGTCAGGTCATGATTTCCTATTGAACATAAATGACACGTGAGATATGGTTGATTCGTAAATGTCTTTAGTAAGCATTGAAAATTGAAATCTTCATTATATACCAATACGTTATGACTACATATCATTTTTAGTGTTTTAGTGTTATTTTGCATTTTGATAAAAGTACAATAATATTATTTCTGTCTACTATGTTGTTGATACTTCGATGTATTTAATGTCTTATAAAATGTTATTTTATAGGGTATATTTATTTCTTAAAGGCATAAACATTGTATTTTATTTTAGTGTTATTGCATTTTGATAAAAGTACAGTAATATTAATTCTGCTTAATTTCATAATATAATTCATGTATTAACAGGATTGACATATTCATTCTTATTTTCCAAATGAACGACGTCTGTGTTGTTAAAAAGAGACATCAAATTAATCATGGAGTAATAAAAAATCAATGAATATCAGTGCGAACCCCATTGATTTACATGATATACTAATTGGCAATTTCTTTGTTGGAAATATATCCTGACATATGAGCTATTGATATCATAGCTGGAGTAATAAGTTAATACATTCTGAAAATATATGAAACTAAATAGAAATGGGAGACATTTTTATAATATCAAAAGATAAGAAAAACGATTGTTTGTTTGATTGTTGGTTGCAAAACATCCAAAGGTAAATATCAAGCATCGACGTTGTTTTGAAGATAAATAACTGAGATGACAGAGCTGAAATACCAAAACATCCAGAGTTGAAAGTTATGTTTTCGAAAATAGTAAATTGTATTTATTATGATCTTTGCTGTTTTTGCTAACATCAGTAACACGATGGATGCCACATGTGAATGTGGATCTGTTTACCCTTCAAGAGCACATGAGATTGCCGCCATCGATGTTTGTTGGAGATTTGTCGTGTTGTGTTTGGTGTACTGGATTTTCTTTTTTCTTTTCTCGGTTTTTGCTGTGACATTGCCAGTTCGTTCTGGGTTTGATTATTCATTTGAAAACTTTTGCCTGTCTTTAATGAATGTTATAAACCAATTTTAATATTTGTCTGGTATGTCAACTTGACGATGGTGTCCTATTGTGCCCTCTGTTATTTACATATCTTTGTTATAACTTACTTTGCGAAAATTGCACAACGATAATAGTTTAAACTAGCTTCTGTTTGAAGGACAATGTTAATTAAATTCATTTCAAAACTGCTTAAGTACATGTTAAAAAATACTCATTTTGAAGATTAGAAAAAAAATTTCTAATAGAAATCATCGAGGAAAAAAAATTACATTTTACCAAGTGTATTGATTTTATCAATAAATAAAGAGACAATATATTTATAATTCTAGAAGTTGATATGATACAAAACGTCAAAACTGATAAATTTTACAAAAACATATGATTGTATGGCTCATTTGAAAGCATACTTTGTACATTTGTTCAATTTCTATTGCACACGGTATCATATCAAAATGTTACATTTATTGACAATGTTGTTATCTATTTCAAATAATGACAAAAATGAGTCACTGATAGAAATAAATTCAATTTGTCTAAAAAGAAGTAATGCTGTATTCAGTATATGGAACATCCCAGCGTATATTTATGGCATCGATTATATTTCTTTAATAGAATAGTTGAAGAAAGAAGGCACATGTTTTCTTCCTAATTTTTTTTTTTTTTTTTTTTCTTTGAAATCTGAACTTCAATCAGAAAAGTTTTTTCAGCAGGTATATGTTTTAAACATAGAACAGAATAAAACGTGAGGCAAAAAAAGTAAAAAGGGCAAATTAGAACTGCTATTACTTATGATAGAATTAAGTTCCTTTGAAAAACAATTGAAAAAAATATATTGGTTTTTGTTCCTTGATAATATTTATGTTGATATTAACTATTTATTTATTTTAGGCTCCTCTATTGGCAGTCCACTTTGTATTATTTCTTCTTATTATCATTGGAAACTTGTGTGTTCTTTCCGCCATTGCTATATCTGGACAAGGACGAAAGACCCGGATGAACTTCTTCATCATGCACCTTGCGATAGCAGGTAAGACAAACTATAGCAGCATAAGTTTACCAATGTTAAAATCTTATCAATCAATTAGTAAGACGGATCAAGGTAACAAACATAAACAGAGGTAATCACATTAATCAATGAGGAAGACGGAACAAAGTAACAAAAACAAACTGTGGGAATCACATCAATCAATTAGGAAGACGGATCAAAGACACAAACACAAACTGAGGGAAACACACCAATCAATTAGGAAGACGGATCAAAAAACAAAAACAAACTGTGGGAATCACAAAAATCAATAAGTAAGACGGATCACAGAAACAAACATAAACAAAAGGAATCACATCAATCAATAAGAAAGACAGATCAAAGTAACAAACACAAACTGAGGGAGTCACATAAATCAATTAGTAAGACGGATCAAAGTAACAAACATAAACAGAGGGTTCACATCAATCAATTAAGAAGACGGATCAAAGAAACAAAGACAAACTGAGGGAGTCACATCAATCAATTAGTAAGACGGATCAAAGTAACAAACACAAACTCAGGGAATCACATAAATCAATTAGTAAGACGAATCAAAGTAACAAACACAAACTTAGGGAATCACATAAATCAATTAGTAAGACGAATCAAAGTAACAAACACAAACTGAGTGAATCACATCAATCAGTTAAGAAGACGGATCAAAGAAACAAACACAAACTGAGGGAAACACATCAATCAATTAGCAAGACGGATCAAAGTAACAAACACAAACTGAGTGAATCACATCAATCAATGAGCAAGACGGATCAAAGTAACAAACAGAGGGAATCACATAAATCAATTAGTAATACGATTCATAGTAACAAACACGAACTGAGGAAGTCACATCAATCAATTAGTAAGACGAATCAAAGTAACAAACACAAACTGAGGGAAACACATCAATCAATTAGGAAGACGGATCAAAGTAACAAACACAAACTGAGTGAATCACATCAATCAATGAGTAAGACGGATCAAAGTAACAAACACAAACTGAGTGAATCACATCAATCAATGAGTAAGACGGATCAAAGTAACAAACAGAGGGAATCACATAAATCAATTAGTAATACGATTCATAGTAACAAACACAAACTGAGGGAATCACATCAATCAATTAGAAAGACAGATCAAAGTAACAAACATAAACAGAGGTAATCACATTAATCAATGAGGAAGACGGAACAAAGTAACAAAAACAAACTGTGGGAATCACATCAATCAATTAGGAAGACGGATCAAAGACACAAACACAAACTGAGGGAAACACACCAATCAATAAGAAAGACAGATCAAAGTAACAAACACAAACTGAGGGAGTCACATAAATCAATTAGTAAGACGGATCAAAGTAACAAACATAAACAGAGGGTTCACATCAATCAATTAAGAAGACGGATCAAAGAAACAAAGACAAACTGAGGGAGTCACATCAATCAATTAGTAAGACGGATCAAAGTAACAAACACAAACTCAGGGAATCACATAAATCAATTAGTAAGACGAATCAAAGTAACAAACACAAACTTAGGGAATCACATAAATCAATTAGTAAGACGAATCAAAGTAACAAACACAAACTGAGTGAATCACATCAATCAGTTAAGAAGACGGATCAAAGAAACAAACACAAACTGAGGGAAACACATCAATCAATTAGCAAGACGGATCAAAGTAACAAACACAAACTGAGTGAATCACATCAATCAATGAGCAAGACGGATCAAAGTAACAAACAGAGGGAATCACATAAATCAATTAGTAATACGATTCATAGTAACAAACACGAACTGAGGAAGTCACATCAATCAATTAGTAAGACGAATCAAAGTAACAAACACAAACTGAGGGAAACACATCAATCAATTAGGAAGACGGATCAAAGTAACAAACACAAACTGAGTGAATCACATCAATCAATGAGTAAGACGGATCAAAGTAACAAACACAAACTGAGTGAATCACATCAATCAATGAGTAAGACGGATCAAAGTAACAAACAGAGGGAATCACATAAATCAATTAGTAATACGATTCATAGTAACAAACACAAACTGAGGGAATCACATCAATCAATTAGAAAGACAGATCAAAGTAACAAAAACAAACTGTGGGAATCACATCAATCAATAAGTAAGACGGATCAAAGTAACAAACACAAACTTAGGGAATCACATAAACTAATTAGTAAGACGATTCATAGTAACAAACACAAACTGAGGGAATCACATGAACTCGAAACGAAGTTTGGTGCGTCTAAATGGTAAGCGTATTTTGTTTTGAATGCATCTACAGCCATGTGAATTCACGCTTAGTTAAAATATCGCAATCACTTATAGGACACACAAGGTAAAATTACAATTAAGACGTATATTCTGGTATCTAAAGATCTAACAAAGGCAACAACGAAATAATGAAACATAGACAAGTTAAGCTTTTAATTTCTACTAATTTCTATCCTAAGAATACATAAATTACTCTTTACTTATTTTGTTGTTGGCCTTATGTCCCTTTTAATTTGCTTGTTATTATAGTTTGACTCCCATTTTAAGACTAAAGTGGTACAGTAACTATAAAAGGCCTTTTAATTCCCTTACTTTTGCGGTTATGTATTAATAAGGACGACAGTAGTTTACCCATGTTTATGTCTCGTTAACCGATTAGGAAGAGACAAATTAAGACAGCAAACGAATACTACAGGAAACGTATTAAGTAATCACTCCGAAAGCACCGGGACCGGATGCGTCAACAGGGTAAGGGTTTTCGGCTAACATCACAGATAAAACGACGTTATGGTATCTTAAGATGTAGGATCTAATGAGTTGTGATATTGAAACATCATATCGGTAAAAAAACCATGAAGGTGACCGTAAAAAATATGTAGTGTCGATTTCAGTGGTTTTCCTTATAACTCTGTAATTCCCTACATGTGTTGTTATATCAATAAACATCATCATTAAATGTTAAATTAGTATCACTGTTTCGCTGTTCCACCTTTTACATCTTTGTGCATTCCAGAACGATAGAGAACATAAGGTAATGATGTTGTGTCGAGTATTTTAGACAATTTTATGGAACACTTGATAAAAAACACTGTCTCTATTAAGAATACATAGCAATCGTCTCATTGTTTGTGTCATACACAGTATGTTCTATTGTATAATTAACAGATGCGCCCAAATTTGAGGATTTTTGGGGTTTCAAAGACAGTTTAAAAGAGCACTATATTAAGAACTTTTAACCAATGTACGGAAGAAACGGTAACTTTGCGTTTTCATTTAATAAACAAATCATAAGGATTATTCGCCAAGTTATTGTGTATAGATAGTCGACGTGGGAACTGCTTTGGATAGTAACAGAATGAAATATACTAGAAACCTCTTATCATATTAATAAACCCCATAATTTGAATAACATTCTTGCAATCATCTTATTGTAGATTTAAGTGTGGGACTTTTTTATGTGACTGCAGAGATTGGACTCGTGGCGTCAAATTACGAGTGGATTGCTGGTGCAACTTTCTGTAAACTACTACATTATATGAAGGTATAATTTCTACAAATGAAACTTGGTAATTCCAACCGGATGAATTTTGATGGAATTTATTTCAATAATAGTTTGCAATGCGAATGATTTTTGTAATCTTCTTTTGTTAAAGTCAACACGACTGTAAATTTATCCTTCATTAGTTGAATCTTGTAATGTAGTTCTACAGAGTGATTCTGTGTAATTGCTACGCAACGAATTGACAATTTTGATTATTACATCGGTAAAGTAAATTCCTTGATCCAATACGTTTACAAATTGTAGAATTTCTGACAGTTAGATTTGTTTTTCCTCATTGGAATGTTTTCCAAAAGTGAATGGAATTGTCAAACAAGGCAAAAATATTGTAAGAAAATTTTTAGGAACATTAGTTATATTGAAATTAATTTATACTGCCAATAGTGTTTAAGTAGTTGCCACAAAGAAAAAGTCAATTACTTTACTAAACAAAACTAATTATAAAAGAGAATATTTTTAGAACCCATTTGGAATATTATAATGCATCTTTACAATCAATCATATGTGTAACGTCTTATTATACAAAAAGTAAAATAACAAGAATACCGAACTCCAGGGAAAATTAAAAACGGAATTTTTTCAGGGATTATCAATAATACAAAGATTTTCTTTTGGGTAAAAATAAATCATATATACAACCTCTTTATGGTTTAAGTGGACAGTTTTCATTCCCTGTCCATTTATCAAATCTTACTAAAAGTGAACACTTTGTCTGATGATATTCCATTTAAAAGTAAAACAATAACAATACCGAACTCCAGGGAAAATTCAAAACAGAAAGTCCTTTATCAAATGGTAAAATCAAAATCAACTGTTATATTCCTGACTTTGTATAGGCATTTCCTTATGTCGAAAATGGTGGAATAAACCTGGTTTTAAAGCTAACTAAACCTTTCACTTGTATGACAGTCACATTTAATTCCATTATATTGACAACAATGTGTGAACAAAACAAACAGACATAATAGGTAAAAATGTCAAAATTTAGGGTACAGCAGTCAACATGGTGTTATAATCTTAATCACTATGAAAACAAATAACTATTTCAACAAAGAAAAAAATGGCCTATAAACACTCTATAGACAAATTACATAGGCAAAAATGAAATACAAGGATACCAAAATTAACCATAGCACTATAACACAATGGCGGCATGTATAAATACCAAGCCACGCCAAACGTATTATACAAAGAATGGACCAAACAGTAAAGATAAATAAAAAGAACATATAACATGAAATTTCGATGACAATTTGCAGGACAACTCAAATAGAATTTCCCAAATAAAATTGAGAATGGAAATGGGGAATGTGTCAAAGAGACAACAACCCGACCAAAGAGCAGAAAACAGCCCAAGGCAACCAAGGGGTCATCAACACACCGACGAAATCCCCCTACCGGAGGCGTGATTCCCTTTAAAACTGAATGATAATTGATTATATGAATATGATACTTCTTTGTACTTGACACTTACTCCAAATAAGGTTGACCTTTGACGATTTGTTTATTTTTGCGAGTCATTTTTTTGAAACACCAATAGAAACGTCGTTTCTATTGAGAAGTGCTTGTACAATGTAGGAATTTAGTATAATTGCCTTAAAGACTAGATACCCTCTACTCTTTCAAGGAAACAACTAACAAAAGTATTGAAATTCCGAGGGAAAAACATAAATATTATTTACATATAGAGTCGGGTTTAAAACTATTTGAATTTATCTTACAGGAATTAGTGATATATGCATCTACGTACATGCTTGTATCCTTAAGTATGGATAGATTTGATGCGATAGCACGTCCAATGAAATTCTCACGAAAAGGTCAGTAAGTAAGTTACGTATCTAGTGTTAATTTGTTATATTTTTCACATGTGGAGCAGGATCTGCTTATCCGTCCGAAGCACCTGCGATCATCCCCATTTTTCGATGGGATTCTTGTTGCTGAATCTTTAGTTTTCTATGTTGTATTCTATGTACTGCTGTTTGTCTGTCTGATCATCTTTTTTCCATGACGTTGTCAGTTTATTTTCGACTTATGAGTTTGAATTTCCCTATGGTATCTTTTGCCCCTCTTTCACACACATAATTGGGAAAGATAAACATGTGTTCTAAAGGAATCATTACCAATCGTATATGGTAATGCATTACTTACATATGATATGGTAGCAGTAAGCGTTAAGTCGGTTTTATTGTAAAATGATTATAAATTTAAAGATAGTTGAACCTTTCTTAGTTCATTTCAGCAGACAATATAAATGATATATGAATTTCGTGTTTTTTTCGTATTTTTATTAAAATTTTATTTCAATTAATATTTAATAATTATTAGATATATCCAAATGGAAAGGTAACCAGGAACATCGGCTTGATATTTGATGTAACAACTCATTAAAGATATCACGTTTGTTTATAAGTTACGCAAAACTTGTGAATCGTCTATATAAGGCTAATCAGTTGCACTCAAATCAAAACAATTGGAAAGCAATACAAAGACGAAACTGAAGAATACCGAACATGTGAAATACAGACAAAAATACCAATACGGATAATGTCATCTTGGTTTTGAAATATTTTAGTTCGAATAATTCAAAAATGTTTTTCACGGAAAACTTACAAAAGAGAAGTAAGTTGAAAATAAACTGACAACGCCTTGGTTAAAACAAAAGACCAACAGCCAAACAATAGTACACAAATAACCAATAAAATATTTCATGATAACCTAGAAGAGTTGACTAATGCACTGATGATATTGTCGTGGACGTAACACCCACCAGCTGAAGTATCCACCCAGTGCATCTAACTCATTAAAGAGTCACTTCTTTTGATTTGATACGCCAAATGCAAGTTTTAAATTCATAAGAATAATCAGTGGCGCTTGATGGGTGCCACATGTGGATCAGGATCTGCTTACCCTTCCGGAGCGCCTGAGATCAAACCATGTATTGGTGGGGTTCGTGTTGCTCAGTCTTTAGCCTTCTATATTGTGTTTTGTGTACTATTGTTTGTCTGTTGGTATTTTTCTTTTTTAGCCATGGCGTTGTCAGTTTATTTCCGACTTGTGAGTTTGAATTTCCCTTTGGTATCGTTCGCCTGTCTTTAACAGTTGGACGGCTAATTAAATACGCGAGGGAAAAGCATTGAGAACAAAATAGTGTGCTATAAACGGCTAAGGTGTTACACTATGGATAAGTTCATATCAGTTTAAAAAGATACAATGTTTGTAATATATTACACCAAACGTTTTTATCGTTTACATATGATTCATCAGTGGCTCTCGAATAAAAAAGTGGACGGTAACCTCAATTCAGAAGAGCATAAATGCACAAAAAAATTACAAAATGTGCCAAATCAGAATGAGCCTTTCTTTTATTTTGGGTAGAAAAGAGTGTTAAAGTAAATGAACTCATTAATGATATAACATTTCAGTACATGAATGCTGATTACTGGGTTTGAGATACCTCTGGGAACCCAGCGGTTTTGACATGTCAAAAAGATATCTCGATCATAATTTAGTACACGAAACCCATATTTCGTATATAAAACTTTATCGGAGGCGCTTTTCGTCTACAACCTTCATCAGATGGGCTCGAATTACAGCTTATAAATACTTACATATAAATACAAATTTGAAAATGACCAATAAGCAAACTCTCATGTTTCCTACTCCAGTTTGATTTAGTACATGGTGGGCTGTTATATCTAGCTATTTACTGATTCCAGTTATAGCATTTCAACCAAATTATGTTAAAGAATATAACATTCTAGATTATTTCTGTTATGACATATCTGGGATACAGATGACCACTGATATATGCCGATTGCAACATCCACAATCCAGTAATATTTTATTTGCAGTTGTGTGTCGGTTTGTTTTTTCTTTTTTTTTTTTTTTTGTCATTGTATTGTTTGACTTATGGTTTTTTTATTTGTCCTTTTGGTATCTTTGTCTTTGTTTTATTGTTTTTTGTTTTAACTGACCTATGTGCTACTAGTATTCGACTATTATCTTTTCGACATTAAACTAATTTTGCTATGCTCGTCACAATGAGCATTGCCATCGAAAGTATGCAATAAATTACGGAACAGATAATCGAAAGTAATTTCTCTTGTCAACACATTATGTCTTACCCGATTTGGTGAGGATGCAGTTCCGATATTTAATATTCCTTTGTTTGACTGATTAAAGTTGAAAGTAAGTTGTCATTATTTCAATCCGCTTTCTAACACTTACATAATCATTTTTATACAGCATTTAGGGCAAAACTGTTGGTATGTTTATCATGGATGATGGCAGCCATGTTTTCAGTTCCATCGTTGGTTCTTTATGATGTAAGACAACACAAGGAAGCATGGAACCAGACGATGTGTACTATACACTTTCAACAGGACTGGATGTGGCAGGTATGGTGTTCTGCATTTGTTTTATCCTTTCATTTGTCTTCTACTTTCATTATACTCATCGTCAGCTATTAGTTAAACGATTAATTATCATACTAACCAACTTGGGTTCAGGATTTAAGTCACGTGACTATGTCTTAAGGAGTGATGAATCGATATCATATACCTGTATCAAATCAAATTCCAAACGTTTAATTCAGGTATAGAATATGGATATTCTCAGTTTAATATTATACATTCATAAAATGTATGTCGAGTCAATGAGGTTCAAATCATTTTATAGAGAATGCTGCTCATTAAAAATGTCGCAACTTTTCAACACTTAAAGCAACAAGATCACATTAAGCACTTAAATGTTTTATTGATATCCTTCAACGATAGTCACATACTTTGCACAGAGAGAGTTGATATCAAAACTCTATCATGAAAACATTCGAAAGGATAAAGAACGGGCAGTCAAAAAAGATTAAAACACATGCGAAGCCTAATTTTAGTTTTCAGATAATAACATTTTGAACGTATTTAATGTAATTAAATCATAACCGGTACGAGAAAAGGGTGACCTTTTCTGCTGTCATGATACAGGTATCGACAGTGGTTAGGCCCATTACTGATAATATCTGTGTAGCATTAAGTCGTATTCCGTGATAGTCACCTCTTACACAAATTGCCGGAAAATGTATACAACAAGGTACACACCCACATTAACATCCATGAAAAGTCAAATAATAATCGTCAGATTGTCAAACTAATTTTGATTCATTAAAAAACCGATGATGTTTTAATTGATTTTGACATTATGTGTCTACCATATGTTCAGTAATCAATATAGTTTTCTTCAGACTTTCTCCTTCGGGAAACAGAACAAATCTCCTCAAGCCATAGTAACATTTGTAGTTAATTTCCATTCCCGATGGACTAATACTGTATAATGTACTATAGGTAGCATGATTTTTGGCTCATAGGCATAGTCTTATATCCATCTTATAAAGTTTGAATATTAATAGAACTTTTATTCAAACAAATTGACTAACATTGATAACATAATTGCCAGTCTACGAATAATAATAAGCAAACACTTATATACGCAGATTCAAGGTGAGGGTGAATATTTAATGTGTATCATAATTAGTGTAGTTTAACGAAATTGAAGGCAGATTTTGTTATTCCGTCCTAAAAATGCGGAAACATTATTCTCTTTGCTTGTATGATAGGCCCAGTGAAAAAATACAATCAATTATGACAGCAACCACAGACTTATATGGTTTATTGTACTTGTTTCGAGACTACAATAGGCAAGCAATTAAGATATAAAAATATGTTAAAAATGTATAATTAACTCCAATTTAAAAAATGATATTTGAAATGATAGTAGATTGTCAAACGCACATTTTGTATTGTTTCGAATATCTAACAAAATAACATTTGATATGTACAATTTAAAAAAAAAGAATTAACAAGTATTATATATATAATCATTAACCGAAAATCAACCTGTAACTACGTATAACGTCACAAGTGTAAAACAAAATGGCAAATTTACAAAAATCATAGCATGTGCTTGTCCAAGTTAGGAAACACATAAGTAGTTGCCGTCTGTAATATCATAATATGATTCGATATTTCGCCGCTGGAGTTTTAATGGCGGATCTTTCATTCTTTCTTTTAAGTTTATTCATAACTGTTAACATTTGTAGAGATTGACAAATTCTATAGACACCTGTCTTGTTGTTGAAGACTGTATATGCGAATGCTGATTCATTGACATTAACCAATATCACCTTTAACATTTTGCTAAGATTAATACGATATGAACAAAACGAATCAAGCTGATGACATGTTAAAATGAATGATAAATAACCATCAGATATTCAGATGGGATAAACACGACAATCGAATATACTCCATCATACATAAGCATGAAAACAACGATGGAAGTTGTGATCTTATTAACACTAATGTATCGACATCTGTACGTTATGCAGATCGCTCATATGAACTTAAATGTGTTTTATTACATAAGTGATGCTCTATAACTTGATCACTGGGTTTTGATCTAGAGTTTGATATCTTAAGATCGATACTTTTTTGTCTTGTCCTTGGTCATTATTTGTTTGACTAAGTACCTATCTGATTAAGCAAGACCTTTACAACTGATAGTTTTTTTTCAATTTTCACAGGTTTTTTTTTCTGTTGTGTTGGAGCAACATCGTTCCTGACTTTTAAATATTTGCAGTTTGAAGTTCTTCATAAAGGTTAATCCAGAAAATCGCTTCGAACGCACACAATTTTTAAGTTTTATTTTTGTTTTCCTTGCCATTTATGACGAAATTTTTCTGTAGCAGCAATTCAATAATGATGAGGACCGTTAATCTCTATAAGTAATGTTTTCATTCTATTAAAAGACAAAATGTTTTTTTTTTATTGTACATAACCACATAAACGATACCGATAATCAGAAATATGAATTTTCTATCATGAGAAACATTCTTTATAGACAAATCACAAGTTGTTTTTATGAATCAGTTTCACCGACTGACCTCGGTGTAAAAGATGTCATTAAACAATCGGGTCTTGCTGTGAGGTAATATCATTATCATTGTGACATAAAAATGTACTGGAAAATACACAAATTTGAATGTCATTTATTGTATCATATATGGTTATATGTTTCAGCTGTACTTTACTTTGGTATTCTTTGCCTGCTTTCTAATTCCTGGTATTATTATAGCCGTATGTTATACACTAATAGCTGTTATTATATGGAAGAAGAGCAAAGCCATTGAAGAAGGATCAGATACTATGTGTAGTCTACGAGATGGACAAGGTTCGAATTTAAATTCTCTGTTTGGTATGATATACTTATTACTTGTTGTAGAAGATTTTATTTAGATATTCTAAATGGTTTTAGTTTTATTGACTTGTTTTTTCAAAAGCATTGTTATTCATGAGCCCGATTGAGATTCCTTCGTTTTCTGTTTTCTTATTTATCATTTTTGTTCTTTTTGTTGTCTTTTTTCCTCGTTTTTCTTTTGGCCAGTCTTCTTATTTTTTTATTTTTTTTTGTTAGTTGTTTTTTGTATTTTGCGCTCTTAATCAAAGCTATCAATTTGCGGAGTATATATATTTCAATTTGACGTTCACATGTGGCAATTATAAATCGATGCTATTAAAACCAAGTGTGCATGTACAAATGTACACGGACTGCCAAAGCCCTTAAACTGTCGCAAGTTAACTTTGACCAGTAAAATTATATGAAAATCAAATTAACTGGCTGTACAAGTCCCCAACCAATATGTAGATATGTAATTAGTTTGTGATTTGTTATGAACCTTTGTCCTTCAGATTATAATCCATCTGGATGTGGTGTAGCAGGAAGTGTGATTCATCAAGCAAAGATAAGGACCATTAAAATGACATTCATGATTGTTACAGGTAAGCAGCTATAAGTCATCAGCATGATCGTTTACATTATCCATATACTAAATGTTTATAATGACCGCTTTGTTTTATATCTTTATATCTATTGTTTGTGATTCTGAAGATGTCAATCTGGTATGTAGTGACTTTAGTTTAAAGTTGTTTTGAATTCTTGCTTTTAAAACAACAATTATTAATTCAGTAGATGAAATAGACAACCAGGTTCAACCCATCATATTTTCTTAAAATGTCCTGTACCAAGTCAGTTTTGGTTTGTGACAGTTAAATCGATTTATGACTATTGAACAGCGGTATAATACTATTGTCTTTATTTGATAAAGTGTGTCCGAAGCAATTTTCTGAAATAACCTTAATCAGGAAGGCTCATACCAAAAGATTTGAAAACCATAGATGTGCAAGACCTAAAAACGTTAAGAGCGTTACTACCCATAAGGTACAAAAAAGCTAAATTTTGCTTATAAAAACTTTTCCTGAGGAAGTTTAATACATAACCTTTATGTCTGTATCATATACACAGTACGACTCTTACTATCAAATGATAAAACATGTAAAGACTTTTGGCTACATGCTAACAACCATAGGGCCATTACAGCCAACTCAAGAGTGTTTTAACAAAATATTTTATATTAGAGGCAACAGTAATTTATCGATATTCAAATCATTAAAAATATACAAGGAATGGGTCGATATGGTGGACGTCTCTTGCTATTTCATTGAAAAATTACAACATGCAATATTAATAATGTTTTACGCAAACAATCGTTTATATAATAATACGAAAATGTATTCAAAGTTTTCAATTTTGTCATTGTGTGTTATTTTCAACAAACAAATGGAGAGTGTTGTTCTACAAATTTAGAGAAATTATATTTTTCTTTTTCTTTTAAAGGCATTAATAACAGTAATTGCCTATTTCGTTTTTAATATTTTGTAGGAAATGTATTTATTAGGTTACAAAATCTTGATTGAAGCAATGGGTGTGTTTGCTTAATTTTGATATAAAATGCATCGAGGAAATCAACTTTTGTTTGTTAATTAATTGTTAATTAGTTAATTAACATGTATTTCTGCAGCAAAGAAAATAACATTATGTAAAAATCCTCTGGAAAAGAGTTGACTTTTCAAAAGAGAACACATAGCAAAAACATCAACTTTAAAGGGACATACAAAGTCGATAATAAACTGACAACGCCATGGTAGAAAAAGAAAAAGACCAAAAGACAAACAATAGTACACAGAACACAACATAGAAAACTAAAGACTGAGCAAAAAGAAACCCACCAAAAACTGGGGCGATCTCAGGTGATCCGAAAGTCGAGTTGAAATTTTTTCTTAAAATTGCACATAAAATAGTAAAAATATTTAAGCTGATAATTTACTTTGGAAAACAATGTATCTTTAAAATTTTTGAACCTGTTAAGACACAACTTTTAAATCGTTCAAAAGACAATGTTTGATATTTCTATATTGAAAATTCATGTGGCAAGAGCAGACCGGTGTACTTGAAAATTAAGATATGTAAAAGGTATATTTTAGGATATTGTACCATGTTAAGGACACACAATGTGGAACTTTTTGGTTTTTATATGCAGCAAATATAAAAAAATAATTAAGTTTCGGTTAAACAAGCTTCGTTCTAATGCAAATATCTCAATAAATGATTAACAATATTTTTTAGAAATAAAACCTACCAGTCAAAACAAAAAAAAACATAAAATGTTAAATTTCTTATGAGTGAAATGTTAGATTCTATTATCAGTCTGTTTGTGAATAACATGATTTAATGCGACTATACGTAAATAATGAAATCCAACAGACAAATTAATTGTTATTTTTTTATTTCATTCCCGTGTGTTTACTTCTCATTGACTATTCTAATTCTCCGTATTTTTGTCAGTTAAAAGTAATGTTCCTTGTGATCACAAATGTGTTGGCAATCATACTAGATCGCCTAATTTGATATATTTACATACCATGTCAATTAACATAATTCAATTCAGTAAAAGAAGTAATGACGAATAGTCCATATGAGCAATATGTGTTTCCAAAACTAAACTTCATCTTGCATATTTGTAGGACTCTTTTTTTTTAAGTGCGAGCAGATGACACACTAAAGTGCGATGGTACATGACACGCTAAAGTGCGTTGGTTTAACACGCTTTTAAAAGTGCGATGGTGTAACGAGAATGGGGTTCAGGCAATGGTTTTAGTTTTCGTCTATTGTATTGTTTATAAATCATGCTGTCTTTCTCTTTTGAATTGTTTTGCATTAGTCATTGTGTGGTCCTATATAGCTACTTGCGACGTAAGCCAATGCTCCACGTTGAAGTTCCTAATGTTGCTAGGTGCATATGGTCTTTGGTGGATAGTTGTTTCGTTGACAATTACACCACATCTTCTTATTTATTTTTTGTTTTTTGTTTATTGTTTTCCATCTCTTTCATAGACATGACGAACCATATTGTAAAAAAATGTTTTATAAAATAATTCAATTAGAAACTTAAAAAGTAGCCATTATTTCACGCAAGTAAATGACATGGGATAAAAAAAACATAGAAGGAGTTTCCAAATTAAATTTGGACTAATTAAATACTTTGACCATTAGTGTATTTAATCGTTATTGCTCTCTTTTACGGTATACACCTTCCCCTTCCTATCGTCAGTTTCTAAGTTTATGAGAAGTATTCTTTTCCAGTATCCTGTCAGACACACTTTTGTCCCCGCCGACACAGCGGGATCAAAGGTTGGCATTTCTTTTATTGTCGATGATTTTTTGGGAAATAACTCCTCCGAATACAAACTCTTCTAGCACCGACCAAAATTGGAATCATTTGTTTCTCTTTTTGTGTCTAGTAAAAAACCTTCATCTGCGCAAACATTCTCGTTTACCGGCATGTACATTTTTCTTTGTACAAACGGCGTGTAGCGTCATAATGCTATTTATGGTTGCAAATGTCCATACTTTCGGGAACAAACACATTTTCGCTGAAAAACGCACTTTAGCGTATCGCAGCATCGGACTTTAGCGTGTTTCATTTAATATCACATACCATCGCACTTTAGCGTATCAAACCATCGCACTTTGGCATAAGCCATCGCACTTTACCGTGACCATCGCGTTTTAGCGTCCCCATCGCACTTTAGAGTCCTACATATTTATGGTAAAATCTGCATAAAATCAAATTAAAAAGGACAACACAAAGCACACAACACAATAAAAACAATCATAGACTGGTAATCATACCCCGTTTTCGTATTCTTATTTATCCTGATATGGTATTGTTTATACCTTGATCATTTTTGAACTCGAAATTTACAGACAAAATGTATAATTTAAATTTGTCCATTTCCTCAGGTGAAAAACGAAGTGACAAAACGTAAAAAAATAATTTACTACCAGGATTTCTAATGGTTTTGGATCATCACTAGAATGTAATGCAATTCCATGTGGTACCGACTAAAAGAGAATGTGATATAGTCAATTACATAGATAACATACACCAAACAATACATTTCCAAGACAAATCCATGAGTAGCACCATGTCAAATATATTAAATTAAAAAAAAAACAATGACGTTTGGCATCTAATTCATTTTAACCTACTGTGTTCAGTGACAATTCGTGAGACAATCATAGTATAAAGAAAAATTACACCAGAATAACTATTTTTATTATATTAGTGTAAACATATTCTATTAATTTGATTCAAGTTAAATGATATATAGAATTTGGCATTAGCATATTCATACAACTGAATGATTAATAGGATACGGAAACAATCCCCATTGTTATTATGTTGATCAATTCTTTTGCAGTGTTCATCATATGTTGGTGCCCATATTTTATTATCTCCTTACTGCAAGTGTATCAGGTTATTTACAACGATACCATGGAAAAGAAAATGACTATAGTCTTCTTTCAGATGTTTGCACCACTAAACAGTGCTATTAATCCCATAATCTATGGGGTATTTAGTACAAGGATATGTGGTCACTTAAGGTAATAATTTTAATCTTCATCTTCATTTTTTTTAATTCCACACAAAAGCGCGCCATGTTAAGGATGTTGAATTATTATACTATCATTAGATATAATAACATGTAATATTTATTTTAGAAGTCAATGAACCAGTTATAATCGGGATAAATAAACAAAATAAACTTTAGTCATCCAATAACTACTTTATACTGAAAAATCAATAATAAAGCAATGATTAGGCGCTATATTTTAACATTCTTTATTACTTATTACATGCATTATTATTGCGATGTTTGAAGAATGAACAGAAATTCTAGATTAATTACTGCGATTTCAGGAAAATCCGAATACAGATATATGTATCATATATCATAATGCGAATTCTTATCATTGCGATACTCACCAAGTCGCAATATTCGCATTGATAAAAACCTCGCAATAATTTCTGCATTTATAGTATCTAAACTAAAACAACCATATGATATCTTTTCAACAAACCGGTAGTCTTTTAAAAACTACATTACCTCTTTTTCATGGATTCGATCATTGGCTGCGTCAACCCAACACTTGAAAAATGTAATTTGCTGCTTATCTGCTACGCAAGTGGTATTTAAGAATAAGCGCACATACTGGTTTGTTCAGAGTATAAAAAATGAATGTCCTGGAAAGGTAACCTGTCTTTCTGCGTACTGTTACCTTGTTAACTAGGAAGTTAAACATCCAATTCAGCGTGTTGGTTCAGTGAAAACCAGGGCTTTTCATTTCATCAATATATCTTTGTCCTTGTTTTATTTGCCACTGAACGTTAAACACAAAGGCATCATAATCTGTTTCATTTTTCTGAACTGTATTATGCTGTATATGTCTTTTAAATGGTTTGTGTAGGTATTTTCTTGTGTATTTTGCTTGAAATGCAACTACTTTATGTGTCGTTTATTTTCTGATTCTTTTTTTATACATTCAGGCAAGTTCCACTGATAAATAGTGTTATCGAACGGCTTCAGTGTTGTACATTTTATCGTAAACGTTGGTCTTATAGACACAGCCGTAGTGGTTCTGAGTACGACCAATCCAACAACGGTATAACAACCAAGACGACTGACAAAGGGATCTCGAAGTCAAAATGCATCACAGAAAATGACACGATTGTAACATTGCTTCGTTCAAATAGCGACAAATCACAGCAACACGTTTCTTTTACACAACCAGTGACTAACGGGTACCCTATGACGCACCACTCGTCAACCAGTAAGCTTAAAGGTCACCGACGGCATTCTGGGTTGCCTTTGGTGAAAAGAAATATAACAGAGGAAGAAAACATTTTATTGAAAAGTTTAACAAGTCGATTGAAGAAAAGGCCTTGAGGCAAATATCGGACATTCAACTTTTCTACTGTAACAGTGCTAGTAAAATGTAAAATTGTGTCTTCAATTGATAAAGCTGATTCAAAACTGGTTCCTGTCCTCTTACATTACCGACCAAATTTTTATTTGAATTCAGATCTATAAAAAACTATAAAAATATAATAGGCTTATAATTTTGTACCCATGTTACTCGATCCGACCTCTTGACAATGATTTTTGAACCAAACAGTTTGAAGGGCAAACAAAATACAAATTAGAAGATTATTGAAAATATGAAAGTGTCCAAAAAGGCTATATATATCTTTTGGAGAAAAAAAAACTGTGTATTGAATAGTTTAACATTGTATTGCATTTGAAAAAAATCCTACATTTGTATAATGACATTTTTTATCAACTCCACGGTGTTGACTACTGTCGTTGTGGTACCCTCGGTGGGGGCAAAAGGTTCACAAGCAGTGGTATAGAGCCGTTTGTAAGTTGTAGAAAATCAATATTTACACCGTACTTATGAATTTGTATGCAAAAACAAGAAGTATCAGTCCTGCAAAATTAAAACTGTAAGAAGGCCGTAAATAAAGTCTGTTCTGTGGCCAGAATCCTTAAATTTGGTGTAAATATTTATATTGGTTGGACCAATTTGTGATTGTACGTGTAACAATTACTTATCGTTTTGTTTTTGTCTACTCATGAACTGGTTCGTGATAGTAGAATACATAAAGGCAACAGTAGTATAACGCTGTTCAAAGGTCATAAATCGATTGAGAGAAAGCAAATCCGGATTACAAACTTAAACCGCGGGAAACATATCAACTATGAGAGGAAAACAACGGAACAAACGAAACACTAAAGTGCAACAAAATCAAACGCCAACATACATAGAAACGAACTATTTGATAACAACTGCCATATTCCTGACTTGGTACAGGACATTTTAAGAATAAAATGATTAGTTGAACTTGGTTTTATGGCTAGCCAAACCTCCCGCTTATATGGAAATATTATTGAATATCGCTAAAATGACAACACTACCTGGCAGAAATACAGCACCAATAAACGCAAGAACACTCAGCACAGAGTGAGAAAAAAAAGTCGGTTGGTATCAAAGGGACAATCAAAATTCAGAATTTAAGTGCTTCAAACAAAACAAGGCAACAAACGAAAAAAAGAGGAAAAAAAAACAAACAAGTGACTTCAAAACACTTCATTGAAAACTAAAGTCTTAATTGCAAGAACCACGTCATTAAACAGGTGCGCCGGAATGGTAAACATCTCCTTATTAATGCCATACTACTCATAAATAAAGGCAACAGTAGTAGACCGCTGTTCAAAAGTCATAAATCGATTGAGAGAAAACAAATCCGGGTTACAAACTAAACCCGAGGGAAACACATCAACTATAAGAGGAAAACAACGACATAACAGAACACAAAAGTGCAACATAAACTCAACTGTATAAAATGTAAGGGCATACATGTTAAAAATGATTCCTGTAATTATACACATGAAATAATTTATGATACTTTTCATAGAAAAAAAATCATACTTCTATTTAATTTCTGCGACATTTCAAAGCATTTCTATGCCGGGAACAGATTAATACTCAAACGTCGAATTCATAATTCTTTATTTTTTTATAATTACAAAGATAATACAGTTTACTAATGACATTTTTATTTTATATCCGCTGTAGTTGTTCCCCGAAGGACGAAACCTTGTTAAATAATTATCTAACTATATAAGCGGTCTTCAACTTACTGTTCTCTTGAACCTGGCAGCTCGTCAGTCCTACTTGCTAGTTTCGAGTGACAATGAAGAGGAAAAAAAAGTTTCCTTAATGAACAATTAGCCGTTTTTATTTGACAAAGTAATACATATGTTCACAAGCAAGAAAATTAAAAAAATGGATTTTCATAACCATAATTGATTTTTTTTATGAATCGTTTAGCATTACTAAGTATAACAAAATACGAACTCCAAGGCAAACTCAAAAAGGGGAATTCCAAACAAACTGACAAAATCAAACGCTATCAATCAACCGAATAGGTTAAAAACAAATTCCATAATTTCATGACTTGGTAAAAGCATTTTCCGAAGAAAGTGTTGGGTTAAACCTGGTTTTATAAATAACTGAAACTCCCACTGTATAAAAGTTGTATATAGTTACGTTATATTGACAAATTTGATTAAGCAGCCTAAACAGACATAATAGGTTAATGCAAAAATAGCCAAAACTGTGTTTGCATACATCACAGCTGAGTAAAAATTCAAATAAGCATACAAATAAATCTAACAGAGACGCCAACAAAAATGGTTTAATAAATAGTAATAAACTTATCATTGATGCCAGGATTTAAATTTTGTAAGCCAGACACATATTTGGCAAACATGTATGCGATGTATGACAAAAACTTACGTATATAACAGTAGACTTTTAATGAGCAGACATAAAGCATCACCGAATATTGTATAAAAATATTAAATCAAGTTTTAAAACGTAAACGAATCATACTGTTTTCACTGATTTTGACAAGTTCAATTTATGAAACACGTGATGTAACAAAACACAAAAGTCCTCAATAACAATGTATATTTAGTTTTATCCCCTGACATGTTGTGTCTGTACAAAACCAAACTATATGGAATACATCTCCTTTATGCAAAGCTTCGATTCCTTGTCCGGACTTGGCTATACTTTAGGTTCTATTTGTTTTGATCCTCTCGCTCTTCAACATTTGCATTAGATTCCGGATATTCATATATTTTGGCCTCGAGCATCCATGAACATTAATTGTCGAAATGCGTATCTGGTGCATTAAAATTTTTACCGTTTATGTTATAAATTTAAAAGATGAAATTTCATTCAAACTGACAAAAACAGACACTCGACTATATCATTCAACGGAACGAACAGAATATATTCCAGATTTATTAAAGGCATTTCTCGCAGAAAATGGTAGATTAAACCTGTTTTTATAGCCAGCTAAAACTCCCATATCTATGATGGCTGTATCTAGTTTCATTATTTTTTTCAAAAATTACGTGAGCAACCAAACACCTATAATCGGTTAACGCGGCCTAGAACAAAGATTTGCCGAGTATTAATCTGTTAACGGCAAGTAAGAATGTTTGTTAAGGTAGTACATGTATTCAGCTCCCAGCTTGTAAGAAAGATTGGTAAGTCATAAACCTGTTACGGGTCTATAAGAAAGATATGAAAGGCATTAAAATGCCCTCTCCTGGATCGTGATTTAAAAAAGATTGGTAAGATAATTATCTGTCTCCGGCATATAAGAAAGATTGTTAAAATAATTATTTGTTCCCAGAATATAAGAAAGATGGGTAAGATAATTATCTGTTCAAGGCATATAAGAAAGATTGGTAAGATAATTATCTGTTCCTGGCATATATGAAAGATTGATATGATAATTATCTGTTCATGGCCTATAAGAAAGATTTGTAAGATAATTATCTATTCCCGGCATATAAGAAAGATTGGTAAGATAATTATCTATTCCCGGCATATAAGAAAGATTGGTAAGATAATTATCTATTCCCGGCCTATAAGAAAGATTGGTAAGATAATTATCTATTCCCGGCCTAAAGGAAAGATTGGTAAGATAATTATCTATTCCCGGCATATAAGAAAGATTGGTAAGATAACTATCTGTTCCCGGCATATAAGAAAGATTGGTAATATAATTATCTGTTCCCGGCATATAAGAAAGATTGGTAAGATAAAAATCTGTTCCCGGCATATAAGAAAGATTGGTAAGATAATTATCTGTTCCCAGCGTATAAGAAAGATTGATAAGATAATTATCTGTTCCCGGCATATAAGAAAGATTGGTAAGATAATTATCTTTTCCAGGCATATACGAAAGATTGGAAAGGTATTTATCTGTTCCCAGCATATAAAAAAGATTGGTCAAGTATAAAATAATTATTTGTTCCCAGTCTGTAAGAAAGATTGGTGAATTATTGATATGTTCTAGGCCTGAAAAAAGATTGGTCTGGTAAGTATCTGCTTCTGGCATCTAATAACGATTTATAAAGGAATTATCTGCTCCTTGCATGCAAGAAAATTTTGAAAGGTAATTACTCCCGGTATACAAGAAAGAGTGGTAAGGAAACCTCTGATCTTGGCACTAGGAACAATTGGTAAGGTAATTATCTGTTCCCGATATATAAGGAAGAGTGGTAAGGTAATTATCGGTTACCAGCATATAAGAAATAGTGGCAGGGTAATTATCTGCTCCCAATATACAAGAAAGGATTGTGAAATAGTTATCTGCTCCCGGTATACAAGAGAAAGTGGTAGTAAAGTAACTATCTGCTCCAGGTATTTAAGAAAGAGTGGTAAGGTAATTATCTGCTCAGGGTACATAAGAAAAAGTAGCAAGGTAATTGTCTGCATCCGGTATATAAGAAAAGAGGGACGAAAGATACCAGAGAGACAGTCAAACTCATAGATCGAAAACAAACTGACAACGCCATGGCCAATAAAAAAAAATAAAAAGACAAACAGACAAATTATAGTACAGATGACACAACATAGAAAACCAAAGACTAAGCAACACGAACCCCACCAAAAACTGGGGGTGATCTCAGGTACTCCGGAAGGGTAAGCAGATCCTGCTCCACATGTGGCACCCGTCGTGTTGCTTATGTTATTACAAGTCCGGTAAATAGTCTAATTTGGTAAGTCACATTCGTGAAAAGGGAGGATATTGTAGTTACGACATAAGGAACATATCCGATATCATCTGTGAAACGGTTATTCCATAACGGTCAACCAACTCGTGAAGGCATCCGTAAAATTTACGAAGGGAAGACTTCAACTTCACCATTTGGAACTCTTGGTTTAAAAGCTTCCTTGTAAGCAGCAACCCTCTATCAAGGAAATCATGATAGGAAACACAAGCCCGGGAATATCGTATCAATTGGGAGATATATACTCCGTATGCAGGCGCTGCTGGAATGTTGCTACATAGAAATGGAAAGTTCACAATTGGGAAGCTGAAATCATCTCTTTTGTCGTAAAGTTTTGTTTTCAACCGACCCTCATTGTCAATTTCTAGATGTAAGTCAAGATATGGGACAGACTTAAC